TGCTACGTAAATGCGGAATTATAAATTGAGCACGAAATTCGAGTATCGTTGGTCGTATCTGAAAAATTCAAATTCACCTCTCTCTATTGTTACGCTACAGCCGACATTTTCAACATTTATGCGAAAGGTTCGCGATTGCCGAAAGACGATTAACGTTGTATTCATCTCGAATTAAATTTTCATCTTCGTGAAATAAATTTTCTGCAAACTACTGCTTAGTTGACCACCGCTGGCCTCGAATTAGCACAGGCTCCATTATTTAAATTCAACGGATATAAAAGAAGGATCAACGTTAAGTCGCACTCGGAGATATTGGCTGCCGAAGCCTGTCTGCGCGGAAGATTCTGCAGTCTCGTCTGAAAGGAAAAGGAACGAAGGGAATCTGGAAAAATCGGTCTAATAAAATTCTGTCAGTGCGATAGTGTCGCAAAAAGCGATAAGACGAGCGCTTTAAGTTTTTATATTCCAGAACTGTTACTCAGGTATAAGCAAAGAGCTTCCTTACGTACCGAAATATTATGTTATTTCATCTTTGCGTGTGATATTTGACGATAACGAGATTAAGAGAGCCCTCGTCTTATCAATCGAGGGAGAGAGAGAGAGAGAGAGAGAGAGATAGCTATCTACGAAGGAAATTGTAATTTGACGTAGCTGACGCAATTCGGACGAATCGAATTGTCGCGAAAGCAGAAGGAAAATCTTAAATCGATATATCTGGTTCCGATGGTTGAGAAAAATAAGCGGTACTGTCTCGTTTCTCGAGGTTGTGGCTGGACTAGCGCCAGGAAATCGCGAAATTGATAAAATTTGCCAAGTAGAGCCAGCATTCCTTTTCCTAGCTTGTTCCGGTAAGATGGTAGTTTTACTGGGTCAACAAACCTACTAGGAAAAATTGGCAAATTGTCACGACTATCGTAACATATATCTCGCATTCGTTATTATTTCGCGGTGAGTTTCCTCCACTTCTTATGCGTTAGATCGTGCTCCTCGTTCCCGTTACCTCGCCGACCATCAACGCATGTTCCTTCCATTTGCCTTCCTCGTTCGGTCGAGAAAAACCTGGCGAAAGGAGACGGTAATACATTTGCAATTCACGGCCACGAGCTCGATAAAGTTCGTCCAGATGGGAAGAGTGAAAAACTACGCGAAGAAGAACTCTGCCGTCATTGCTTATCCGTTGTTTTATTATAGAACGTTGCAGGTATTTCGTACTGCTGTGAAACAAACATACGCATCGTGACGCGCGCTTTGCTTCCCGTACACACCTTTGCGTTCGGTCTTTTTCTCGTACTGCTTCGCCACAGCACTCTTCGTCCGTTTTGTTTTAGTGCAAACTACAGCCTTTAAAAAAAAAAAAAAAGATCGAAATTGCCGGAACGGTGGGATGGGAAGGACAGCGTGGCTGTAACAAGCCGACCCGAAGAAATTATATTTTATGATTGCCGCAGCGTTTAAGCCGCCTACAGCGCAATGCACGCGCGCAATTATTCCATGCATTCTAAGCTGCGATTATGACTGTTGGCCTGCTCTCCACTGCCGGCCTCTTCTTCCACTCTACACCCTTTTCTCGCATTTCATTATCCATAAATTTGAACTGTATAAAGTAGCACTTTTTACAATGCTGTTTCTCCGCATTCGCTTCATCCCTTATTTACATGATTTGAAGATTTACGCCTTTTTCCTCTCGCATCGGCTTCGCTTTCTACAGGACTTTGACGAATTTGCATCATTTTTCGTTGTAATATTCTTTTCTCTTTTAATAAACACCAACGATAGTGCGCAACATGCGTTAAAAAAACGGCACATAACTCGTATATTTATTAAATTTACTATTTCCGTACAACGATTCGAAGCTCTGGATATCATAGGGTTAATATAAAAAGCAATTAGATTCTACGTTTAATGCTTGTTAAAATGTCTATCTGTTAAAACGCGTAACAAGATTTTCATCACCGTGAATGTTATTTTAATGTACGATAGTAATCTCGATATATGCAGCTTTTGGTTTGACATGAAATTGCACTGGATATAAAATTTGATTCTCTTTCATTTAAACGCGACAGAGGTGTAGGTATCGGGAAATCACGATCATAGTGACGAGGAATTTTTTGTCACTGTTTTCTACGAGAAAGTTTCGTGTTTTTGCTTCCTCTTTCGTTGAAACCTTTCTCTCTGCAATCTCCGATCTCGCGCATGAGGGAGATTCGATCCTTTGTTGCCGATGAACCGGACGGCAAAGTTCTCGTCAACGCGAAGCAGCTTTCAAGATTGCCTACGATGTCACGTCACTGTACAAAATCGGGATCCTCGAAGACGATATTGCCAACTTCCTTTCCTTGGTTTTCCGCATTTTCCTTCTTTCCTTTCTTTCGTGATCTAAGCGTCGTCATTGGACCGTCTTTAGACAAACTTGCATAAAATCCTACCCTTCCTCTTCTTCTTCTTCTCCAGTTTCCTATTCTTTGCATTTTACGGATTAATTATGCAAGAATGTTGGATCGTAGAAAAGTTTCTACTCGCAGAGCAATTCGATGGTTCTTTTCTCCTAAAATTTTCTACGCGATTCTACGCATGCCGATGCTCACATGCATTTTACGTGTCGTTCCTCACGCGTTATCCTTGACGTAAACCCTCGTTCGTTTTTGTATTTTAAATTGGCATATAAATTTGCAAATAATTATGAAAGATTATTCCATGTTCTCGATAATAACGTTTGCCACTTTCCCGGTGAAACTCTTGATTCGATCGGGGAAACGTTATCACCTATTCGGCTGCTTATTAGAGAGGCTAAACGCGCGAGCTTAACCGAGCTTACGCTTGTAAAAGCTGGAAACGCGTGATCGAAGAATGGCTTGGAAAATCGCGCTTCGAAATACCGAATTAACGTCCGGCGATGCGTGAATTGACATTGCAAACGAGTTAGATGTTTCGCGAACAAGGGAGGACAGTCAACGACAAAGTCTTCGTTGTAATTTCGCTACGATCGATCCAAGCAATAGAATTCGTTTAAATTTGTACATTTGTTACTATTGTATTATCCGCATCGGGTGAGAAACGGACGCATCTAAATACGAGCGTCGATAACATACAATATTTGTATAAATCTTCGATTCGTCTTTAATTTTAAAACGTTCCTTTAATATTCTAATTTGTATGAATTAAATCAAATTCGATTGTCTTTATCGAATTTGCTTTAGCTTCGAGTTATTCGAGAAGACCCGATAATTAATTTATCGTTCGAGCAGTGTCGGGTTTCTGAAATTAATTGTAATTCTTGTTATTAAATATCAAGCCTTCGATCGTGGTTGTTCTAAACTGCGTTTGCAGTTTGTAGAGCTCTTCGATTCATCGGAACAGTTTGACACTCCCAATCATACTTAGTTTGACCTGATTCGATGATATTCCGTGAAATGTTTCCGGATTACAGACCACGTAATATGATAAAGGCATTGACAAAACCGTATTGAATACACGATCGGCCATTAATATACGAAGGACAGTTCGTCAGAGCGTCGATTGTTCTGAAATTACTTTCAATCGGATTCATTTTTCACAAAAGAATCGAAATAAGCGAGAAGCGAGGATGAGAACGGGCGTTTGATAATGTTTAAAGCTTTGCAAGTAAGATGGAATGTTAAACCGACCTATTTAAACGAGCGTATGTGGGTCAGGATATCCGAGTCCCTGCTTCACGATGTCTAAAAAGAATGGCGTAGAGTGGGAAGCGAGTAGCCTACAGCGACGAGAGAATAAAAGAAGAAGCCGTTCGTACAATTATTGTAAGAGCGTCTATAGTAGGACGACAAATCTCTCGACGACGTTACCTCGACGTTTCTGACAGTCTCGCGTAAGCCGATTACTGTTCCGCAAGATAAATTAAAACTTAAGTTTTTCAAAGAGAACTACACGTGTATGCGTACGCGTATAGTTGTGTCATTTGTCACCGTTTTTTGCATATCAATGTTATTCTCTTGGACGATTCATCACCAGCACGGAAAGTAACGAAAGATATGGAGTATAATTTGGAATAAGCTAGGATTTATGGATAGCCGTAAATTCATTCGCGCTACATTTTCGGCAATATGAATTTTTTGTTCGAACGCCAAATAGGTTTCTATATCTCGTATCGTATGATAAATTGTAATTTTCGCTCTCACAAATATATTATTTATCGCGAGATAATTACACTGTGTATAATATTATTTTCCTCTTCCGGTCGTCGTTCTATTGTCGCCACTCGAATTAAATCAGCCTGCGTCAGAAAGAGTTTGCTATTTCTAAATGTTACATCGCAGTCAGGCAACGCAGCTTATTTGTATGTCCGCATAAATTCTCTGACGCGGAAACCTCCTAATGTTAATTCGAAACAAAAGCACGACCGTCGCGAGGGTCCAACGAAGTCTAGCCGAGAGTGAACGTACAGAAGCGTCGTGGTAGAGGTAGAGGTTCCGGAAACGCGACGGGGATGCAGGGAATTGTGGGGTCTTGCAATGGGGTAGCGCATTCGGTACGGTACGACAACGGAACTGGGGTTTTGTTCGAGGGATGCGAGAGGAGGTTGCTGGAATATCCACCGCAACAAGGTGCAGTTGGAAAAAGGGAATGACAAAATGAAGAAAAAAAAATAGAAGCCACAGAATCGGCGCATAAAAGCGAGTACGAACAGCCTGGAAGGATAAATAGTAAAAAATGTAGCTCGACCGCGAATTAGAAATTTTCAGTTTTTCTCCTTGCTAACAATTCTACGGCCGCATTACTTAAACTCGAGGGTTTCGATCGTAATGTTCTTTCGCACGCTGCTACAACTTTTCCTTCAAATTAAATATCATCGAATCGGATAGAAATTGCCGCTTTAGATTTACTACGAATATAGCATGGAACTATGGAATTTTTTAAACGATCAGTGCGACGGTGTAGTTATAGATTTCGAAATAGAAATCGCGCTTTTTCGAAATAGAAATCGCCGTTATCCGTTTAAAATTAACCTTCGAATTTTTCAGTTAAAGGAATTATTCGCGGAAACGAGGGAGAAGAACAGGTCTAGCGCCGGAAGAAATTTGGATAGGAAAGGAGGATCTGTCGTTTAATACGTGCTCGCCTCTTTTCCTCCTTTCTTTCAAAGTAGCTGAGTAGTTGTTTAATTCTTAACGAGATGGCTGCTGAAGGAACTTAATTGTAAGAAGCTTTTGTCATTATATCGGATATCTTTCTTTGTTTTCTTCCTGTTCGCGGAGCAGGCAAAGTTTCGATCCTTTGACAGATCTAAGTTAATGCATTTAATAACGTTCTGCAGACGTGCTACGATACTTAAATATTTTTTTTCTGTTTCCAGTAAGCCGCTTTCCACATTTACTTTATTTCGTTCGGTAACGATGGCGCGACAATTCGTGTATAAATCCAGTATTGACGCGTCGCCGATATTTGCTAGTATATCATAGAAATCCGCATCGATCATAGAAATTCAGCGATATAGGCATCAAAGGATATAGGTAAGTGTAGATACATATGAATATATATATACACACACATACATATATATACGATAATATACATATATATGTCGTAGGCCGATAACTCATTTTCCATTGGAGAATCGATTCGAGTAGAGTCGCATAGATCGATTCGATGTTCACTGGGTGGAGTGCGCTGCTCATACTCGCACGTTTAACGCGAGTGCCCGTCGTCACGTGTCCCGTCGAAAATAAGTATCGTCTACTGATAAATGTGCCCGAAGCATTGGCGGTGAAACATGGTTAGCTACGTACAGGGGAAATTCCATTGGTCTCGCGTAGATATTTTCCTCGATTCCCGTGAAACACGCGACCGACCGCGTTACAGTGCGAGTACCCTACACATCACGCTTGTACGCCTATACGCGCATGGAACGAAGAGATCGCTTTATACTGCTTCGTTCTACGTGCACCGTAAAAATGCAAAGCAGGCTTGCACGTCAGCGCATACATCAGCATACACGTGCACACGAGACAGCCGTGCCGTCGCTGCCATGGGACCTGGACGTAGAAGCGGAGGGGGTCGTTTACCCCGCACTGCCACTCCGCTATCAACTTGCTCCGATATTATCGACAAAAGGTAATTTTCTAGGGTACGGTGCAATTTGACGTACCGATTTTCCTATTCATTTGTCATACATCTTTGTCTTTGATTTATCTCTTCCTCTTCCTTTCTTCTCTCGCTATCTTTTTTCGTTTCTCGTTTCGTTAATTTGTTTCTTTTCGACTTAATTTGAGATTTTAATGGCAAACCACAGTGGATTTTCACTACAAATCGTACTTTATTCCTTGTACTTTTGCATAATATGCTTAGTAATCCAATGTACTTTTACTACGTGCTTATTTGTTTAAAGTAGTCACTTCCGTACTATGTCCATTTTTCATCGGGAAACACGGTTATCTGCATTTCATAAATTCAGCATCGATCCCTCGAATCCGCGAGTGTGGCCTTTGATTCTCGATATACGTAGGTAGGGGACGGTTCTCAAACAGCCAGAAAACCTGACAAAGTGCCTCGTTCGATTCTCGTTCTCTTCTGTCTCCGATCAGTTGCTCAAACGAGCGGTCAAGCCACGTTTCGTCGAGTTACGATCCCTTTGTTAGGTCCCTGACTAAGGGTAAAAGAATTTGATTGCTCACTGCGGTTAGGTTTTATATTACGCGATAAATCGAAAGGGTACGTGAGACTTTCGGACATTTTACACGTACCCTTCGCGAGTGACACAGACCAAAGAACGTGTTCGCAAACATTTAGGCATTAAACGAGTTACTTAAACAAGATGATCTTCAACACCATTATGTAGTAAAATTAATTTGCTTACGAGTTTCTGTGTTGCTTGGAAATGGCGAATGTGTACTGTTTAGAGCCAGCAGAGTCACGCAATGCCGTCCATGTAAAGAAAAAGTGGACAGTGGTAACTACCTATCTAGGCAAAGATGAAACAACGAGAGTTCGTGAGGGAGCCAAGTATGGAAGAGGCAAACGTAGAAAACGAAGGGGTATCGAGGATCCCATAGGAAATCGCCGGGTATACAAGCCTCTGTTCGAGTCTGACGGAACAAAGCCGGTATAATGGGCCAGCTGGTGCACACGCAGCAACCGTCCTGGAATTTCGCTCGCTCGGTTATTCTTGCTACAGCGTATTGGTTATATGCCGTATCTCTTCCGTGCAACACACGATATTCGACGCAGTGAGAACAGGACTGTTGCTCGCAGTAGACTCGCAACGTCGTATCGGTGATGCGACCCAACGCGTATCCGTTTTCGCGAGAGATTAGTCTTTGAACGAACACGATGCATCCCAGAACGATCGCTAATCTCATTCCATATACGTTTCTATTCGCTGCACGAACGTCTTGTAAAACTCTTGCTGCTTGATGACATTCGCGATATACGGAACGTTCCTGCAGCTCCCGTCGCTTTGTGCAAAACTGCTCCAAGATCATAGATATTTTCGAGACTGTTGTTCTGATCGATTCAGAAGGCGCTATATCTCGTAGCAAAGAAGAACGGGCAAAGTGTTGGACCGAATCGTTGTAGCATGTATTATGAGGACTACATTGGAGTTGAGTTCGCTCGAGAAAATAGCCAGTAGATACATTTTCGCTTTCTAATAACGCTACATGTCTAAACAGTGCACGGTGCACTTCATCCGCGATCAAGCGAGCACAGAGGAGAATTACGAAAAGAAATATAGTAAAGAGAGAGAGAGAACAATGCTTGGTGGTTTCACGCTGAGAATCGTCGGTAAAAGAAAATCGATAATATATACGTACATTGGTGTAGAAGTAGAAGGATATGTACATGGAATGGACGTACCAGCTACGGAAGCTTGGAATACCATATGGTTCGAGTCTCAGCAAGATTTTATACCGCTATTATTTCTACGTTCCCTCGATCGCCTTTATCTAGAGCAATTCGTAGCCATACTACTTTTCAAATTCTCATTGATCGCTTGGCTCTCGTTTTTCATCCCTTTTTCCTTTTTTCCGTTTTACTTTCTTATTCGGATATTTCTTCCGGTTTATCCGATATATATCGATACGTTTGAACTGAAACTGTTCATCGAGCAACGAAGATCCGTGTCCATCCGATTTTGCACTGTTTTACCATTATCGTGCTGCATCGTCGTTTGTCGAATGTCCAAATGTCGTTTAGATTCCATCACAGCGTTTCATTTCGAAGTGATGTAAACTGAGTAGCAAACGAGTATTTGCCCGTTCATCGATTTATACGGCAAGAGGAAGAGGGCCAGGAACTCTTTCAAACACTGCTCTTCCAATGTACATCGACCAACTGTTCTCTCTTTCTATCTTCTTTCATTGAAGTTTTATCGAAACTTGGATCAATATACTTATGCTTCTCTCTATTGCTTTAGAAATCTTCCAAACATTTTTATTTTGCAATTTTTTCCTTACTTTTCCAGAGAAAGCGTACATCTCGTGATATCCGCTCTTGTTTAACCAAATGTCTTTCGTTCTCGTTAGATGAAACGTTGAACGTGGTAAATCATGTTTATCACGATCGAACCGAACTTTCGTTTGCCAGTAATAATGACCTGGTTGCTGTATACTTTGAAATTCGAGCAACGGCGTATGAAATATATCCGACGAAAGTTTCGGCCGAATTCGATACAACTTTCTAGAGCTCTGTTGCACGTAGTGAAACAGCGTATGCCATTCGTAATCGCGCTAGAAGCTGTAATCCAAATTACATATTTTCGTTACTAGGCAATTTTCATTCGCGAATGTTCGTTTTAAGGTTTGAGATTTTTACCTATCTGCTATTTTCCTGTCACCATATTGAATTTGTTCGTGCTGGTCGATGACGTGAAAGGTAGAAACGGACGTTTCTCTCGACAGTGTTGACAACGATGAAGAGAAAGCAGATTTCAAGGGTGTTTTCCCTTTAATAATTTCTAGAAGGGTGGTAACGAGAAAACGAGTAGTACGAAGAGTAAGTAGGCTGGAAAGAGGTAAGGCGAAACCAGGTAGAATGGGATGCTGCGAGTAGAAAGAAGGAAGGCTGACCCGGCCCGAGAAACTGGCTTTTATTTTCCTTCCAGTGTCATCTCTTCTTCGAGTGCTAGCTATGCGCCGAAATAAGACGAAAACCCTCTGTGTTCCTAGCACGATTTCTTCAAGTATCTCACCTCTTTACTCGCCCTTTCTCCATCGCCGCTCTCTGTCTTTTTTGCTCCGGTGCTCGATGATGAATCACTCGCTGTATTTCTCTCGTTTCTCCGATCGTTCTATCTTTCGCGCTTTTCTGCATGAATTGCAATCGATCGCTGATGCTTTAGTTATTATCTCTTTTATTATTATTTTTATTTTTTTTTTTATTGTTTTCATCGATGGAATTAGATAGTTTGAATCGTCGATGAAATTCAATTCCGTTTCTCGCAAAATTGTTTGTTATAGGATTTCGGTAACGTAGGACTTGGAATATTAAGAATACCTTTTAGGGAATAAGATATGAGCGATGTTGCCTCAGAAGCGTTATATAGTTGACCCTACTGTAAGTGGAAAGCAGTTATGACTCTATCGAGCCTGGTCCTATTATTTTTCACCCTTGGTTCGGTCTTTACGAGGAAAACGGTTCGAAGGGTTCTCTTTACGAGAAGATTGGTTACGGAGAGCGTTCCGGCAGATCGAGCAGTAGCGAAGATATGAAATCCGAACCAATTCCCGTGAGATTTTCGATTCCTGGCCTCAATAAATGCATTTTGTCTTCGCGCTTGAGCAGAGTTTGCCAGTAGGTCGTAAGCTAGTCGGTTTCCAAGCGCGAAAAGTGGGTTAATGTCCTCGACGTTTCTAGAAAGGGAATTGTTTGAACGAATCGGATACTCGACTGTTTCAGACTCGACGTTTCTAATTGACAAAGACGGAAGGGATATATCAACGCGGCGCATCTGCCGAAACGACGCGGAGGCGAAGAAAAATGCAACGAGCGTAGGTGTAAGAATAAAGAGGGAGAAACGGAAGCAGGAAGAGGCGGGCAAAGGTAAGATGGTGGATTTTATCTTTTCTGCAGCCTTTGCACGAACAACCCTGCGGTATGTCCGGAGGCGTGCCATAGAGTGTTCTCCTCTCGTTGAGAATCATTGGCAAGCGAAAGAATCGAAAAAAGAGCGACGAAGGAAACAAAGAGAACCTATCACGATTTTGGACGGATGAAACGGAAAACTGGAAACGAAACACCAGTTAGGAAGTCGTGCGTTTCGAGAAATGCGACGGTAATTGCTTGCAAAGCCGAATTAACACCATGAGCTGTGGATTTTTATCAGAAACATCTTAACCTGGTAAATATCGAACATTCGCAGCACTGGCCTCACTTTCGAGTCTCCTCCTCGAGGGACTCGCCGAAACTTTTGGTATATTCGACAAATTAGTTTCTCGGCGTAATTTGCTCGATCAAACTTTTCTATTCGAAGTTTCTCCATGTCGAGGTGATCGATTTTTCTTTGCTTCGTTCCATCTGGAAGAGCAAAGTTTAATCGTAGTTTAGACTATCGGCGGAAATGAAGTCTGTTACGCATAGAAATTATAAAACGATGCTTTAGGCATGTTTCGCCGCCATTTAAATACGTTTCATTTATATTTAGGAAAAAACTGTTCGTTTACATAGAAATTGATTATCAACTAACGCGAATCCGTTTCACCTGTATAATTCGTACACAAAGAAAAACGATGTAATCTTTGCGTAGAAAGAGTTGCGATAAATCAAGTTTTTCGTTTTTATTTCGGTTTCGAATCTTTCCGTATGCAGCCGAAACGTGTTGGATTTTTACGGGTCAGTAGCTTTTAGCTCCGTTCCGCTCGTAAAATGCGCGTGACTCCTAAATTGTTCACGTTTTGAACGATGTTTTATATTCGAAAGCGATGTTTTGCGTCTGCTCGTTTCTATCTTAAACAAGATAATTCGGAGGCTAAATCGTTCATAGGAAAATACGATGCCCTTCGAACTCTTCGTAGTCGAAACAGCATTTGACGTTTAACGTCGTTTAATTTACAGTTCTCGTTCGATATTCGTCGAATATTCCAATTCAAAATTCATTTCTAATTCAATAAGCTATTTTCAGAAGCTGTTTGTCCTCAGCCGCTTATTACGGGTACACGTAGTTGTAGCCGCGAATGTATATGCGAGGCTTAAATAAAACGGAGACTCTTATCGACCTTTGTGGCAGATTGGATTGAACGTTGCAACGAACCAAGTACATCCAGTAGGACTATTCGCTTAGTCTTTTCGGAAAAACGTAATCCTCCTCCATTGCTTTCAAGTCGGTACGTCTCGAAGCGCCCAGCAGATACTGTCTCCGATGCCTGCGGCGTTTCCGCCGCAACCTTCTGCATCCACCTGTCTCGCGTTTCTCTGCATCCACCGCCTCGTCGTGCCAGCTTTGTTGCGTGAATTCTCACCGGCATTGCTTCACGAATTTGCCATATAGAGAAAGAGACGGGCGTCTCCGTCTCGCTTTGCTTGTTTCGTTCCTTCGGGAAAGGAACAACCTCTGTTCGACGTCTTTTAGCCTTAGCTGTTCATCCCGAAACGGAACTGTATTATACCGACTTTGGACCAGAGATCACCATCGCGTTCCATTGTCGTCCGTGTCAATCACGCAGAAACTTATTTTTCCCCTCTATCGAATATTTATCACACACGTTCGCACGGCTTTTCGTTACTTAAAATGGAGCGCTCGATATACCTTTCTTTCCTATTTTTCTTTTCATATTTCTTTCGCGAGCCCGCAGAGAGCACCGGATTCAAGAGCTCTGCCTTTGAACGGGCCTGGCTTTAAAAACCGATCTTTTCGTCAAAATCCGTTTGAACTCATCACGAAGCAGTCGCAATGGGCAATCGCGATTATCGCGATTTTAAATACGTCGCTGTCTGTGTAGGCGTAGGGCACAGGTGCCGGAGAAAGTACTCTTCGATTCGTACTCGAGCCTTCGGTTCGAGCACCGTGCACAAAAGAGCAGAGTTTTATTCAAAGCAACGGTTCTGCGGGTGGCAACTTTATCCGGCGTGTCTTTAGCCTCGATGTAAAATGCGTCTCGAGAGTTTTCAAGTATTCTTAAAATTTCGACTCTTGGGATCGGGAATCTACTTCCGCGCGATATAAGGAAACAACGACGGATCGAAAGATCCGATAGTATGCGAGCGGGACACGTGAAGGTGGAAAGAAAGCAAGGAAAGAGGGTGGAAACATTATCGCTTAAAAGTTTCAACGAAAAAGTTACTTCGAAACAAATATAATGGAAATTACGAACAGCGCGTCGAACTTTACGCAACTCGAAAGAATGAAATGGAATTTACGACAAACATCTGAAAGTCGGAATGTCGAGAACAATTAGAAATGCATATTTCAAACGCGAGTAAACGTAATTTAATCAACAAAGAGGATGTTTGGTTTTAGCCTGCTGTGATGCTCGAATTTTTATAGTTCAATCTTGCTCTCGTTTTAGCAAACGAAAAAACCTTTTAATAACCCAAGAAAATCTTTCGCGTGAAATTTAAACGAAGATAATTGTTTGCAGTTGTCTTTACGCGTTAAAAAAGTCAGAATAAATACGATCGAGGTTGGAAATGACTGGAAGAATACAGTAGGATTAAGAAATTAAAATGTATGAGTTATACACACACATCTATCTTTAAACAGCGAACAACGGCTGAGATAGCGAAACGGGAATAAAGAAGAGGAAGAGAGTGGAAATAAACGAGGAGATTTTAATCTGACCGCATTTTAATTTCCTAATATATAACTTGAGCTGACGGTGCAACGATTTCAGTTTCAGCTAATGATCGGCACGAGCCAAGAAAATTTATCGTTCGTTCTGTATTTCTCGCGCTTGCCGTGTTTAGCGTTCTCAACCGCTTGTTTTGGAAAAGTTCCAGACAAAACGATCGCGATCCTCGACGAACAGCATTTCCATCCGATATCTCTGCCGCATGATAATTCAGCAAACGGCGATATCGACGTTCGAATCATTTTGAAAAATATGATTTTTACAAGTTCGTAAAATCGTCCTGATTCATCCATTATCTGTTCAAGTTGCTTGTACGTCATCGTAAGTTCGGAACAAGGAGAAGAACAAGTAGAAAGACTAGTCGAACGTGGTATAATTAATGACAAGAAGAGCTAACACACGACGTCGACCGATATTAATAGCTTCGAGCAATAAGGGTATAAGTTCGTTAGTCGTGCGGCGACTTTGAAGACTAATGACGAAACTTTTGTCTCGATCTCGCCGATGTACAAAGTCTAGTGTTTTGGCAAATAACGCTCGATTAACCGCGAGACATTTGAACTTAAGCGTATGGTTCGCGTGTTCGTGGAACGGCAGAAATCGACTGCTTGCGAAAATGCTCGCGAAACGGTGTTTTCATTAATATCGTTAAAGGAACAACGCGCTATATCGGATCGTGTCCAATTTATCCGATAGAGAAATTATTACGGTTTGGTATAAAGAAAAAAGCAAAAGGTGGAGCAAAATGGTCGAGTACTTGGTCGTAATACTCGCAGACCCTCGCGATAATTATTGGGGTAAAGTCGTCAAATAGCTTTCCTTCGCTCGACCGGTCTCGCCGTTCCGACTCCTGGGAGGAGAAAAATCATTTAGCCTGTTTCCTGAACACGACGGAGAGAGATAGGAAAGGATGGCGGTCCATTGGCAGAACGTAATTGGTGGCATCTGTGACCTACTGTTCCGCGAAATTGATTCAAGTCTCGAGCCGGAGAATCGGGGCTAATTGGAACGAGTAACGAATCTCCCGGAGGAAAATCGCTATGATTTTTCTCTCGCGCTACTTGAACGACAAAGGTGACGTTCGCATACTCTTTACTCCTGATTGCCGGATTTTAGATTACGTCGAATCCGTTTCCGTTCTATATCGATGAAAACGATTTGTCTTTACTTTTCTTTGCTTGTTTCGATAACTCTACGGATTCTTCTGAAAACGGAAGAATCCGATTTCGTTGGAGAAACTTGGTCGCAGAGAGCAGCAACGCGAATAGATGTACGCAGCCCTCGGTGTTACAGTAGAAATGATGCTCGATGTTAGAGTATCGTAATATATAACGGGAAATGCGTTTTAATTGGACTATCAGCGAAAAACGAACGTTGGCGGTTCCACTTTCGGCGAGAAACTAACTGGCGCGGGGACTGTACAAGATGACAAAATTGAGCGATATTTTTCCAGAACCTTCCTCTCTACGACTCGTGTCGTTGTCGCTGTATGTAATCCAATGGTTTTCTCCCTGATACTTTCAATTAAAAGCTTCTTTTAGTTCTTATTTTTGGATCTTCGTTTCAAGCTATAATAAAAATTTATCGACACGGTAACGTTTCAATCTTCGACTTAATTTGAACGTATTTTTCGATTATTCATCTTCCCAGGAGCGAAGAAAATCGATGATATAATAGAGGAACGACTGGCGGTCGCGGAGAAAGCAATCGCGTTGGTGATGATGGCAAAGAAGATGGAGGTACGCCCGGTACATTATTAAATATGCCTGGGAAAATTAGATTCGAAATTCTTATTTTTCCTTGTGGCGTTTCTACCAACCCTTCTGCTCCACCATCCACGAGCGTTCACGATTGCCCGCCTTCTCCGTTCCGTGCTTTCCCTTTCTTCCTCTCGACCAGTTCTACGTATTGCAGGAAAGATACGTTGCAGCCTGAGGCTAAATGCCTGTGTCAGCATTGTTAAGCCAGCAGATATGGCTGACCCAATAGTCTTAAATTTTTACGTTATGTACCTACCCTTCGCGTAACTTTCGTTCTTTTTCACCCATTTTCTCTTAGGTTCTTCTCTGTTTCACCTTCTGCAACCTGCGCTCGCTCCGAGGTTCTGCCGTTTAGTGTTTAGAGATGAAACGTTTGATGAAATTGCCGGCGGCTACGCGCTAACGTTCTAACGCGCCGAGATATCATCGCTACGTACAGTTACGAGCGTCGCGTTTTTCCTCCGCAGATCGAAAATCAACTAAATCGAAGTGCATG